GTTTCCAGATAAGCTTTGGGGATAGGAGCAAACGAACCTTAAACCTAAGTCAAGAAAGACTTCCGTTTGATTGAATCCCACAATCTACGAGCAATGCACTTTATTCTTTGCCTAAATTTTGAAATATCTATCTAATTCTCAGCAATTTGTAGAAGTTCGAATTCATTATCCACTGACATCAGTTGAAGGAACAATAGAAACCTGAAAGCACTTGACAGCCATCTGTTTCGTCCCAGTATGGGACCCCTTAGCATCGCGCACCCATGGTCCTGCCAGAGATCGAACCCAGGAGATTCCTGAAGTTGCAGTGAGAAGTCGTGACCAGTGCAGTCAACTTAGTCGAACATGTGGACAGTTACTCAAGGACGACGTTGGATGTAAGTCACACTACATCCTGAACTGACAGAAGTTGGAAATATGAACCATAGGATCCCGACCTAGTGACTCAGTTGTAACGCACCAGCCACAAAACCTGAAGGTCTTTGGTTCAGTCCCTGAAAAAGGGAAGTCAGGGGTGGGCATTGCCGACGAGTCCTATACTAGAACGAAACAGATAGCTGTGAAGTGCTCCCAGGTCTCCAATGTCCCTCCAACTGATGTCAGTCCATGATAAATTACAACCCAAAACCAGTTAATAAATCTCCATAAACCTCTAGAAAGAATTTGTAGAAGTGTCTTAACATTTTTATAAACTTATTGTATAAGCACTTCACTATTCTTCCGGTATACTTATTAACTACACATCTCTTTAGAAATGTTTTTCGAGTTGAAATAAAGAACTTATTGCCTTTCCATTAGGAAGTTACTGAGTATTTATTGCCTTCAATCAAGTTCAGAGATTGTGACAAGATCTATAATCATGTTTGACTCAGCGTCATTTATAGTGACTGATGATGATTATGCCAAGTTCAAAATCTTGTGCACTGTTTATATGAAGCCTTTAGAAAAAAACCCTACAATGAGGTCTTCTGCTTTTGTACTGAGGTTATTTCAGGACAACTGTAGAAATTCAATGCAGATAAGTTAACTGAATGATTACCTAGAGTGTTGCATACAGTCAGTTTTTATCAACAATGTTATTGAAAAGTCAGCAGTCTTGATGAATATAGCAGTTTTTCCCTTTAGAATAACCAATGACCCTAAAATATGTTTAGTAATGATGGGCAGTGGCTAGTAGTGGAATCCATCATTACTAAACATAGTTAAAAGACAGGTCATATCGAGGCATCCACATAGGAGCCCATATGCCAACAGAGGCTGATCAATTCGGTCCTATCAACGACGGTGTAATACAAGCAATAACACTAAGACCCTAAACTATGTTATGATTAAGAGAATTTAGTAACTAATATTCACCTTCATAGGGTGATCGTACAAATATCAAATTATATGCAATGACTATGTATCTTATGTATCTTACTATTGTAAAACAGAAATATAACGAATAACTTTTCAATAAAAGTAACAGCCTAATTCTCCTAGTAGTTATTATTGTTTGATACGTCTGCTTGTTCTGAAATAGGGTTCAGCTGTATATTGAGATAAGGATGTACTTGTCTGTTTGATGTTTATTTACTTCAAAAGAATAATCGTAAATACTTCATCTTTATAGTCAACGTTGAAACTCAAAAGCTTTAGGGTAGAACGTGACGTTAGATATATGATTATAAACCTATTTAATATAAGACAATGAAGAATGAGAGTCCAAGGAATACTCTTTGAGACTATTGTCTTGTCTAATGGTGCTGATAGTTTGGGCTTTTCTCAGCTTCAATATTTTTACTAACATAATAATAATAATCGCTTTATTCCAAACAATATGTATGACAGTATGGAATTCTCAGTATGTAGTTTTTCAACAAATTCACTCCAAGAACAATACTTTCAGACGAAATGGTTATTGCATCTGAATAGTGTTAATAATAACAGTATTCAAGGCAATCATGTGAAATAGCCAACTGGTTCTGAATGGGCGTCCGATCCATAATGAAGAATCAACAGAACTGCAACCATAATTTTCGTGTCGGTGTTTCATTCAGAAGATATAAAAATCTGCAACTCAAGCTAAGCAGCTGACGGATAGAAATATGATGTACGTTTTCGCGCTGAAAAGTCCATTTCCACACAACGTAACACTTTTTTTCTCTCCTTTGTTATTGACTCGTTCAACGGAGAGTTGGAAACAGTTTAAAAATGTGCAAGAGTACATGATACATTCAAAGGACATATTTAAATGATTAAAACAAAATTGAAAGGAAAGAATTTGATGAAAAATGTTCTATGGATAAATTTGGGAGCCCAAGATTCAAGAAGGCCGCTGTGATGTTCATTTTAATGAATTATCTAGTGTAGACACTTTTATGCTTCAAGACTTTGAATAGTCACATATCATGAGGACAGTACTTTATAACTGGCGATTTCAGGAAATTGGTCGAATGACTCAATTATCACTATAAATTAGGAGTGACAAGAATGAATTATGTGAAAAGACCATCTTGACTCTTAGAAGTACTCAAATGTTGGTATGCTTTTGTTGTAATCCCTTGCATGTAAGTATTTGGGTTGTGACTGAGAAACCATGGTTTCATAAGCAGATTATTCTGTTCTCTCCAGAAAAGATCAGTTTAGCTGCTCAAATGCTCTTCCACTGACTTTTTCAGTTCCCCACCCTTATATTACGAAGGTTGGAGTTTTGATAAACCTTAGATTACGAAAAAGTGTATTACTCTTTCGAATAATGTTTCCCTTCGGTTTATAACTAATTTAACTTAGAATATGTCACACAAACTTGAAGATCTACAGGCGAAATCCAACAAGTTGATAGAAGAAGCGAGGCAGGGCAGTGAAGACTGGACTTCAGGTGAACGTAGAGAAGACAGAGGTGATGAGGATGCCAAACCAACGCCACCACCACCACCAACAACAACAACAAACTGCGATCACCATCAATGGGAGAAACTTGAAGGAAGTAGTCTCTTCCATCTACCTAAGCTGGGCAGCATCGTTTCAACTACAGGTGGCACAGGCATAGACGAGGACTTCAAAGCCAGCCAGGATTGGAAAGACAGCAAGACAGGCGTTGAATAACCTGAAAGCAGTGTGGAGATCTGCACTGAACTGCACTGCAATGCACTCAGTATACAGCGTGAACAACATCTCCATTTCCCCCACTAATGCCAGTCAAGTGAGTCAGTGCTTCCATGTGATTGTTGAGAGACTTGGCGCATTATGAAAGGGATTTCCAACAAACTACAAACATTCATCACCAACTGCCTACACAGGCACGTTACTGAAGATCAGATGGCCACAAAGAATAGACAACAAGGAAATCACTCTGGCGTGCCAATGAACCAACGAAGCAAGAAGCTATCGCTCAAGAAATATGCAGAAGAGGGGAGTGTAGATGGATTTGGCATACACTGAGAAGACCGAGTGGGGACATGACGCGTCATGCGAGGCCATGGAGTGGAACCCCGATGGGAAGCGACGAGTTGGGTGTCTGAGGTGAGGGTGACATGGGGGAGATGGTGTGGGTGGGAGAAATGAGAGCTTGTGGGCATTGGTGGAGCGAGGTTGAAAATGTTTCAGAGAAGAGAGTGTAATGCAGACGTGCTACTGAACCCCTGTATTACATTGGGAACCTAAGGGACAAATAATAATAATAATGATAGTGTTTATATATCAACTGATTTGTAACTGACTTGAATGCCAAATTTCTAGGAATTCTCTGACATTATTGATATTTCGTCTATCCAAGATTTCTACACTGTCAAAAGTGAATTCATGTCTATATTTGTTATCCACATGCATTCAAATCAGCGATGAAATGTTGTGACGTTTAATAGCCATTTGGTGTTAATGTAAGCAAAAAAGCGATAAGATCGACCATAGTTATTGCAGTTGATTTTCTAAATGATATTCAGTTTATCTTCTTTAGGTGTTGGATCCTTCAATTTTGTCATAATATGGTTTACAGGGAATTTGTTAGTTTCCTGAGCCACACCAATTCTGAATGCTTTCAGTAATCACGTTGAGGGTACCTTCTTGATTACTGTTTATTCATTGGTTAGTTTCATTTCAAATGTATCTCTGATGCTTACAACTTTTTTATGTAATCAACTTTAGTGTTACTGCTTGTATTACACCGTCGTTGAGTGGACCGAATTGATAAGTCTTTGTTGACATATGGACTCCTGTGCGGATGCCTTGATATTGCCTGTGTTTTAATTATGTATAATAATGGTGGGCAGTGGCTAGCAGTGGAATCCAGGATGCACACTTCGTCCTATTTGGGACTCACTCGTCAGCTGGATGTACCCACCTCCCAGTGAGTGATGTTGTTCCCACGGGGACCCTGACTTGGGAGTGATCACTTCAAACGCCAGCACGTTATCCACTACACCACCTGGCCACGACAGTCACTTCTTGTGAGACGGCGTTTGAAGCAATCACTCCCGAGTCCCGGTGGAAAAAATACTCACTGGGAGACAGCAGGTACATCCAGCTGACCAGTGAGTCCCAAATACGACGAAATGCGCATCCTGGATTCTACTGGTAGCCACTGCCTATCATTACTAATCATCAACTTTGTCTACATTCATGAGGTAGACAATAAGCCACATCACATGTATAATGGTTAAATAACATTACCTGATTATTTAATTTTTGATAGGTGAAATTTCTCTATGAATTCTTAGAAAAAGGAACTTTAAATATTGAAATTTTAAGTTAGGCGTGTAATTCAAGCATGTGATTGTAACTTTACATTGATAGATATCAAAGCTCAGTTGAGCTATGCTATGATACGTGGGCTAAATATTATACAGAAGTGAATTCTTTTATTTCTCAAGTTATATATTTAATCGAAAAGTAGTAGAATGATTAAAAAAAAACTGTATTTACACAGATTATTGGTATGTTGATTAATGTATGTAATCAGTGTTATCACTAATAAGCCTATCTATAATAATAAAGTATGTGTTGTTTGCTTTTTTGTTGTCTTACACAATATAATAATAATAATTCATGTGATAATATATATTTTATGAATAACTTATATAAATGATTTATACAGTACAGGGGACCATTGAAACACTTACAAACTAATCATATAATATGAAAAGATTTAGGATATATGAAAAGTCTATAAGAATTAAAAAGATTTTTATGGATAAAGAAACTCAACAGTATGTGATAGATACTGTCATCGCTGCACTTCATCTATACAATGATGATTATAAACATATGGGAAAGTATATTGAAAATAAACTCAATGAAAAGTATTTACCAACATGGCATTGTATTATTGATTATGATATGAAAAGGTTAGTGGATTGTTTAATTTATCTATCTCTGAGTGTTATGTCTCCTTGACTAAAAAGACCTTCATTCTTTTATCCCAGTGGATTAGTAGATAGTCGTTTTACGTTTGAAGCGATGGATACATGGTTTGAGTTTCTGTGGGAACAACATCATGTACTGGGGTGCAGGTGCACCCAGCTAACGAGTCCTAGATAGGACGAGACGCTGGTTTTTGATTCCACTACTAGCCATCGAATAGAGAACAAGACCTTTATACAATTCACTTCAGAATATATTATATAGATCTCAGAATGGTATTCATCACTAGCTTACATTAGTTGGAGAACCACTGAATAAGTGTTACGTTGTAGTATGCGAAAAAGTAGTAGTTTGCACTCCTGTTCCCACCAGGGATCAAACTAAGGTTCCTCTAATTTGAATATGTTTTACAAAAAAGCAATATGCAACTTTATGTAAATGTTTTATGTAGGACTTTTGAAATTCGTAAATGAAGATGAAGGTGACAAAAAGTAACTAATTTGACGCTTGGATGAGTACATTCGTTCTCTTCAGCAGATGTTGTCGACTAATTACTCTTTAATAATGGGTGATAACTGAAGATGGGATGAAAATTTGGACCACAGCAGGATTTGAACCATCAGCCATAGGGTTTCTAGTCCCTTGATCTACCAAACCGAGCTACGAGACTTCTTTATCTTAACTTATCAGAAATAGCTTAATAAATGAGTTTAAATAGCCCAATTTAATGCTTAAAACAAATAATTCCAGTAAGATATATCAGGCTACTTAAATTCATAGACCAGAATTTCCTACTAGACATACAGTAGACGTTAGAAATGCCCCCAACTTATAAATTGTATCATTAAACGTATATTAGTTTCCTTCCAGCCAGCCTCTACACTAATACACAACCTAATATGGTTGTAGATACAATTAGGAATGAACTCAGCCGTCACCAGGAGTTCACACTCAAAACAAAGGTAATAACTGCCTAACTTTTACAGTTTTCAATTTTCAGGGTAGAATATACAAACAGGAGTTGCTGTGGAATCACCAATATCCACAACAGTGATTGGAATATTAAGGGGTAGTTGAGGACAAACACCTCTTAGAACATTTATCCCTATCCCTTAAATATGGTAAAAACATATAGATGACACATTCACAGTATTGAAGTCAGAGCATATTAACAAATTTTTGACATAGATAAATTAATTTATACATGCAAATCAATTTACTTATGAATCAAAAGGAGAAAAGATGGGCATTAAGACAATAGTGTCTACAGAAAATCCATCAAACTGAAAGTAGTGAAATCTTGAGCATAGAACTAAGATCCATTCGAGGTTTGTTACATCTTTGAATGTTAGAATATTGAATCAGTTTGGTAAAGTTAAGTCAGCGGTGATAACAAATAGAGTTTGGCATATCAGAGACAGTAAACATGCAACTAAAGTCCAAGACAAAGAAAAAGTTAAACTTAAATGTCACAACAAAGTGTAGTATGTAACTGATACTCCACACAAATGGTAAAATTAGTAAAAATGAAAATATTACAGACCATGAGAAATAAAATTGCTCAAGTGAATGAACATATAAAATACATTAAATGTAACGAACAGAAATAATTTGTTGGCAGTTGTGGCTAACAATAGATGCCAGCACGCTTGTTTCATCCTATTTGGAACTAGTCAGTTGAATGTATCTCCATTCCAGTGATCGATAATGTCCCCATTGACAGTGGAAGTCAGTACACCTTACTTCGAACGCATAGCAGCCTATGTATCAACAGAGATTAGTTCAATCCAACATAACAATGAGGAATTACAAATGGGGCATACAGAATTAACTTGCCATAGGAATTTTGACACAAATTTCAGTCTTAATAAAGATTATGTTATCCGATAGTTCACAGCAGTTTACAAAGAAAGCGATCAGATAAATTCTCATTGTAAGCTATGAAATCATGAGGTGGTATTCATGAAGGACTGATATCAGTTAGGGAACCATTAAAAACCTGGGAGTTCTGTATAACTCCTCAGCAGTACGCATCCATGACCGGGCTAAGTATCGAACTCAAGACTTTCAGGTTTCACGGTGAACGCGTTAACCATTCAGCGACTGGGTAGAAGTTCAGTGGTTCACAGTTTGCTACTTCTGTAAATTCACAACACAGACCAACTATCACCCAAGGTCTTCAGCTGACATCCATTTCCCTTCCGATTGGTTGACCTCTACAGGTCACGGCTTTTCATTAGAACGTCATGAGAGAATTATACAGTAGTGCATTTTTTGGTTATTGGGGATTTTAATTTTCAGGTAGTATTCATTATGGATTGACATCACTGTGAGATCTAAGGCTCCTAAGTTTGATCCCCAGTTGGGTATCTTGTCTGTTTATTTTACACTCAAGGATCTATATGTATCCATGAACTGAACTTTAGCCAGTAGTGTTATCTTGTTATTACCTAATATTACATTTGAATATTTTGTATTTTCACATTTCAGTTCAAAGTTACAACCAGCTCAATATCTTATTCTATTCAAGTGTGAAGATAAAGACTTTTTTGTTTTCAAGACAATCTAAATAAAAAAGGAATTCATTGATAATAAACTATTTTTTAAAGTGATTGACACATACTACTACTACTACTACTTTCATATTCATTTTGATATCTCCCTACAAAAAAATTTTATACCTCAATATTTGAACCTATTTTTCAACTAAAAAACTTCTATTTGTATTTTTACATTGTATCAATTCATCAGAATTGTAAGATTTTTGATAATCAGTTATGAAATTGGGATATCTGTCAGGCTTTTTTTACACTGGTATCAACCAACACTGGTAAGGTAAACATGTCTACATCAAATTAACTTAATAATATCGTTTTATCTTCGGTTTAGCTGAGTCAGCTGGATATACCTGCCTGCCTCCTAGTGAGTGATATTTGTTCCCACTGGGATTCACACTGAGGACTGACTACTTCAGACGCCAGATCGTTGTCCACTAGACCACTGAGCCATAAAAGCCACTTCTTGTGCGAGAGGGTACAGTTCTTTTTAACTATTATTACTTGTATTAAACCATTGTTGACGTAGGCAGGTACATCCAGCTGGTGAGTCCCAAATACGACAAAATTTGCATCTTGGATTCCACTAGTGGTCACTAGCCATCATTACTATAATTAAAATACAGGCAATATTAAAGCAGGAGCTCATACGCCAGTACAAACCGTTCAATTCGGTCCTTCAACGATGGTATAATACAAACAATAATATTAAAGTTAACTGAGTTATCTTAAGAAAAGAAGTGCATGTTTAGTAGCCCGTTGAGCTTATGAACACAAAGTGATTACTTCCATGACATAATTATATACCTACAGGAATAGAATTATGTTTCATTTACGTATATGGAAGAGATAAACGCGATAAAATGTTATCTTAATCACTTTTCAGCTTATTTTCCGAATCTAAGGAGTAAAGTAACCTTTAACTGAACACATCGTCTATCTTCAAGAGTCAGGAATGAAGAGAAAAAAATAATAATGAAATACAAAGGTAGTCAACTCCATCTATCAAGACATTTTTGTAAGGAAAGAAATAATTCCATTCATTGATTAGTCATTGAAGAGCAAATAATTGTCATGTTGTCTACTTCTAAATGCTGATGAAGTTGTATCCATCATTTTGTAATGTGGTCACCAAGTTAGGAAGTTCACCATTGTGGCATACTTTGATGAATGTTAGCTCGCTGAAGACGATCGACAAGAAACCCTGTTAGACATAGGTTTCAAGCTTATTGACAATCATCAACAAGGTCTACAAGACGTAACAAGAAACATACAATCGTTTACTTACCAAGAATATACGATCTTATAAGAGTACATAAACCAGAATTATTTTTTTATACATGAAATACATCATAGTAAGGTGTAGGCAAATGACTAGATTCCATTTAGAAACACTAACATAAATCAATAACAAGACAGAACGAAAAATGCTGCCATCAATGATAGAATGATAATATCCCTGAATGTAACATATCTGTGAACGAATATATCACTCCCACATGTTGTCATATAAGATTGATAAACAAGCAAGTGAAAAAAATGGGTGAATCCTAGAGTTTTAGTTGAGGCTCATGGAGAAATAACACCCACTTATATAAACTAATAGATGGGATTGTAATTCATTCACCGCCGAGCCACATATAGGTGAACATCTTTCTAACCAAACTAGATGGTATTCCTCTTAATCAGTTTATCAAAATATTTCCATTTTATAACCGATATACAAACAAAGTTAGTATGAACAGTTTGAACAAAATCAACGTCTCTCGCAAAGTACTCTGAAGTATAAAGTCTACATATTAGCGAAAATTTGAAGGCAAAATGGATACACCTTATGAGCTTCTCTCAAGAAGAATAATGGGTTAACTAACAAGAATATGTTCAGATGAAACAAGTTGATATGAAACTATACATTCTTTTTGAGTTTGATTACTCTCTAGAAACAGAAAAATCTGATAAAGAGCCTCAGTTATATATTTTAGGAAGCACAACACTGACGAGAAACAGCTATCTGGACTAATGCACAGATATCATATTATTACGAAATTACAAAAAGGAAAGGTATTCCTATTAATAGTGCTAGTAGAAAACCCGTAGGTATTTCGGCACAGTTTAGAGGTTATTTACCTATCAAGATATTATTTCATAAGGTGTTCAGAAGTAGTCAAGGAATTTTTAACGCTACTTCTATGGCACCATGTACGTCAGTCATACCAGTATGAATGATGTTTTCTGTACTCGTGAATACCTTCTGGAGGTATAGTTGAGCAGTGGTGTCATATGAACTTCTAATAGCTTCCTACTAACGCATGAACCCATATGGTGGACACTTATTTTTCTGGTTTTCATCAACTTTTCAGAAAGCATCAGACCTCGCGTTTGTCAAACCGCAAAAGTGGTCACAAATCGGATAAAATAGTCTGAGTTGAGTCATAAAACCCAAGTTTCTATGCACATGTATAGTTTTATTGAAACGAATATCTCGTAAGTTGTCCGTCCTTATTTATCGGACCCCTTTATTTGCTTTCGTGCAAATGAAGGCTGCAGTCTGCTTCCTTTATGTGAGACTAAAGTCAATTTAGTAAATAACCTTCAGTTATGATTTTATAATTTATGTTAAATGTCGCACAATGTTGAAGATCTACATGCGAAAAATAACAAGTTGACAGAAGAGGCAAGGTGAGGCAGCGAGGGGAGACGGGACTTCCTTCAGGTGAACCTAGAGAAGACAGGAGTGGTGGAGATAACCAAGCAGCAGCATCAGCAGCAACAACAACAACAATCACCAATCACTATCAACAGGAGAAATCTGAACAGAATTGTCTCTTTCATCCATTTGTCTACCTAGGCAACATTGTTTCAATTACAGGCAGCGACACAGACACAGATGAGGACGTCAAAGCCAGCCTGGGTCAGAGAGACAGTAAGACACACCTTCCTATATCAATCTGAAATCAGTGTGGAGATCTACTGCACTGCACTGAACTCAGCATAAAGCGTGAACACTAATGAGACTTGGCGTCTTATGAAAAGCATTTCCAACAAACTACAGACATACACCAACAGCTGCCACCTACATTCGATAGTGACCTCCAAGTCACTGACCCGGTACTCTACTAACCGAACTGTACGATCCAGCTAGTGATTAAACCTTAACTTCATTTCAATCATCCAGGGTTTTGCCCGAAAGCCAATGTGAATAAGATCAAAGGATAGTAGGGCATCATGAATTCACATAACAGTCGAATAAGGTTCTTGATGATTGAAAGAAAATTAAGATCTCCTCTGTGGCAAGATCTCGCATCTCAATTAGTAACATGCAGAGTTGATAACCCAAAGGTGGCCAGGTCGAGTCCTGAGGTGACTCAGATTTTTATTTCATCTTCAATCATCATCCAGTATCAATAAAGAAAGCAATAACTAGGTATTTTTTGAAGAAGGATGGATTACTAATACTAATTATCTTAGTATTAAATAATTTATATATTATTTTTTTCCCTTGGGTTCCTAATGGGACATACGGCTTCAGTAGCACACCTCCAATGCGCTCTCTTCTCTACAGTCTTTTCAACCTGGCTCCACGACTCCCCACAAGCCTTCATTTGCTCACATGATCTCCTCCATATCACCCTAGCCTCAGACGCCCAACTTGTCGTTTCCCTTTTGGATTCCACTCGAGGGCCTGACCTGGCCTGGGGCTTGATGTCCCCAGTCCGTCTTCTCAGTGTATGCACAACCCACCTCCACTTTCTTCTGCATATTTGTTGGGTGATAGGAGAATATAGTAAGTAAGTAAGTAGGTAAGTAAGTGAGTAAGTGAGTAAGTGAGTAAGTAGGTAAGTAACTAAGTAAGTAAGTAAGTAAGTGAGTAAGTGAGTAAGTAAGTAAGTAATAATTGAGAAAATATTCATACAGCATCGTTTAACTGATTATACCATCATGGTATTCTAAGTAAACTTGCATTCCAGTTGATTACGTGATGCTGTTTAATTCGTATAGATGTTCAACAATGTATTCACCTGACCTACAATTATCTTACTTTATTCTCTTGAAGATTTCAATCAGCTGTCATTGTTAATAAATGTATTCTTCATATTATATGTGTGCGCAGTCAGTATATATGCTATATAACAGGTTAATATTGTACACAATGATTATACAAAGAAAATCCATTATATACATTATTACTGATATTTGTATAACAAATATGATACATAACCATTTACTAGATGATGAGCACACATACTATGTAAACACGTTAAGTGATATACATATGCATTGAGAGTACTTAGAATAAAGTGATTATTCCAATATTCAGATCGAAAAAGACGTTCTTGGAATTCATGAATATTATAAGTACTGACAATTATAATTATGTAGAACTAAAATTATGTCATTGATTGTTAAACCTGATTAATGGATAAATCATGCGGCCTTATGAACTAAAAAAAAAGTAATCATATAACCATAATAATCTTCTAGTCATGATCACTATCGCTAAAAATTGAAATTTTAAACAGGATTTACTTGTAAGCACTTCATAAACTAGTCAGTGGTAGTAGTAGTGGTGTGGGTAGTAGTAGTAGTAGTAGTAGTAGTAGTAGTAGTAGTGGTAGTGTGAGTGGTAGTAGTAGTAGTAGTAGTGGTAGTGTGAGTGGTAGTAGTAGTAGTAGTAGTGGTAGTGTGAGTGGTAGTAGTAGTAGTAGTAGTAGTGGTAGTGTGAGTGGTAGTAGTAGTAGTAGTAGTGGTAGTGTGAGTGGTAGTAGTAGTAGTAGTAGTGGTAGTGTGAGTGGTAGTAGTAGTAGTAGTAGTGGTAGTGTGAGTGGTAGTAGTAGTAGTAGTAGTAGTAGTAGTAGTAGTAGTAGTAGTAGTAGTAGTAGTAGTAGTAGTAGTAGTAGTAGTAGTAGTAGTAGTAGTAGTAGTAGTAGTAGTAGTAGTCTAAATGTCCACATATCCCTTTACGTTTACGAAACTTTCATTCCAGGAGATTTCAATGCTTATGGAGAGTATTTCTAGCTCAGGCGGATGGTCTTGGTTGTATTGTGTTCTGTGTGCTGGGTTGTTAAATTATGAAGCTTTCATCGTCTTGCTAAACGACATTATCAGCACTAACTTCAGTATGAATTGTGCTATCAGTATCTCTTCGTGAGTGATTTAGTAGCTTGCCCTGACTAACTGGTTTGTGATTGGTTGTTTTCTTCGATTGTTGTGTCATTGACTGTACAAATTTTCCTGTCGGCTGTTCGTCTGCTTGATCTCTGACTTTTCTGTCTGACAGCTCACTTCATACTAAAATTAGCGCTGATAGTGTTATCTAGCAAGACGATGAAAGC